TGTGGCTTACTTTCTCAAGATGAGTATCTAAAGGATTTATGGAGCACAATAATCCACACGTCCCGGAAGATCCCTCGCGAAAAGCCGCACACGCTCCCTGACGTCCCCACGCCGCTTCAGATCCGTCTCGCTGCCCTTCTCCTTACACTCAAACGCCAGCCGGACCCGGCGCCTATGCCCACAACTCATCTTCAATCGCCTGTTAATGCTCGTCGGGATCTTTCCTGGAGACAACTGCCGCTGTTCGAGGAGGCAGTTTATGAAGCGCTGAAGGATGAGCCTGGACGACGGGCGAAGTTTACCAAGATCGAGACTGAAGGGTGGGTGAATTTCATGGCGTTTTTGGCGCTGATTACGAAGGAGCGAATCGTGGGGCTAGAGAACATTGGAATTGTAGTCCTTCGGGAAGCATTGGAAGAGAGACACGACTCTATTCCTTCGACCGAAGAGAATGATAACATGAAGGCGGATGAGGCGACGCGGTTGAATGTGTTTGTAGCTGCGGCGGCTATTTGGGCGGTTATCATGGGGGAAGAGCTGTGGGAGCGAACGGGGCAGAAGGAGGAGTGTCCAGTGGGCCTGTCTCTGGGGCCTGCGCCTAAGCAACTCATCGGAGAAATTCCTAAACGGCGTTGGGAAATGTGGATTGATCGACTTCAATTCTTGAGCCTGCGCGAAGATCTTAGGATATGTACAAGAGAGTTGGCAGCGGAAGCCGCCGCTGTTATGATGCGGGTTCTATAATGCTCAACAAAAACAGGAGTAATGTATGATGCACCATGACTCTATAACTGTGAGTAATGCAATATATATTAGGAAAACTTCACCCCCTTGCTCGGATCCCAGGTTCCCTGTGTTCCAAATCGAATGCCCATATCGGGCGACCACACGCCAGGGGCCATCGAGGGTCTTGTGTTGGCTCGGGTTGGTTGGGGTGCTGTTAGTGGCTCATCCCTTGGTGGTTGGTGCTGGACCGGTTGAGGTTGTGGAACTTGTGGTGGAAGTTGAGTCGGTTGCTGAACCGGCTGGGCAGGCTGAACAGGCTGAACCGGCTGGGCGGGTTGGGCTGGTTGTTGGCTATACTGGCGTAAATGTGGTTGAGAGAGATTGAGCGAGGCCATCGCCGCCACGCTGGTGATCTCCCTGCTCGAGTCAGCGCCTGGAAGTCAATTACTGAGCTTTCGAACTACTCACCCTTCTATTTGACTGGCCTCCATCCTTCGCTGGTGCACAAATGCTTTGCAGTCATCCCGGAATCGACCCACAATCTTGGCCAGATCATTGTAGAATTTCCGCCCCACCTCGATGTTTGAGATGATTTCCTTGTATTTCAGATAGCCATTCTCCAGCTCTTGCAAGGCCTTTTCGCGCTCCTTGGTTGAAGCATCGCCTGTGTGCGCCCGGGTAAATGCACGGTTAGCCTCCCGCACCTGTGCAGAAATCTGGTCTTGCTCGTGCTGCTCCTGGGTCACCATCTCCAGGTCTGTGTCGTACAAATGCAACTGCTCCTCGAACAAATCTTCGAACTGGCTCGCCTGGATCGCCTGCATGGGGAACTCCCGCTCCAAGCGGGCGGCTTCCTTGAGAAGGGCTTTGCCTGAGCGTTGTCAGCATTGGTCTTCGAACTCAACCCTTTAACTTACTGATGTCATCCGATCTGGCTTTGTCCTTCAAAGCTTGCGCTCGGCGTTTCCGTCGGTTCTCCAGCCGGCTGACTTCGCTCAAGCAACCCCGTAGCCGAATAGATTCCCGTTCGACCTCTGGCGGAATTGCCGCCCTCCGGCTGCTAGGGACGTACATCTCCAAATCCCGGTTAGTACCGGTCAAAACTCGGAAGACCGCCTCCGAGTCTTTCAGTTTCTGCTCTACCAAATTATCGCTACTTTGAGCGGAGGAAAAGTAACCGTCTATCTCTCGAGAACTGGTGTACAGCTTCGGTGCCGCCGCTTCGGACGGCTCTCTGGCCCACCTGTCAGTACCGTATTTGCGGCGCGAAGAGTCGTCCTCTGCCTTTTCTGCGGCGAGTAGTTCAACACCCTCATTGTATGCAGCTTTGTCATTGGACTTCACCCTAGCGGTATCCTCGAGCGATCTCCGCAACCGGTTCAAACCATCTTGCTGGCGCATTTCTTCCGCATGGGAGACCAACGTAGGCGGCAATCCAAGGGGTTTTTCAAGAGCCTGCAAGGAGCCCGGAAGATTCAGAGATGATAATAAACTATACCAGTTAGTATCTTCCCCATCAATGCCTGATTTTAATACCTACTCCCGTAGTTTATCCGTCATAGTCTCCAGCTCCCCGATAATTGTCTCGTTGACAAGCCGATCACGGCGGTCGGAGTAAATACTGGCAGCGATATGGACGGCGTATGGCACCAGCTTGGAAAATAACGGCTGCCCTAAAGGTCCATTGTCTCCCAACATAGAGATAGCATCAGTCACCTGAGATGGCGCCTTCGCTGCGACCATACATGCGCGATCAATGATCTTCAACTCTGACTTTGGCGGGACTGGGTTGAGATAGATTACATCGTTGTCTTTCTCGGCGCGCTTTAAGTCCTCCGTCACACGGTTCTTTAATCCTTGCAAGTCCCCTAGCACAGTGCGATTGATCCAACGTGATTCCTTCAAGGCTTCGTTGACACAAACTTCACTGTCCCGAAGACGAGCCACTTCTTCACCATACTTTCGCTTCTCCAAACAGTCCAACGACTGGCGATACTGCGCAGCGGCAGCAAAATGATGATGCTTGGCTGTCATATGATGAATCCATTCAGGACTAATAGCATTCGATTGGACCGCATAGTCACCTCCTTCTGCGTAGAAATCGGAAACTTTGGCCGCCAGCCGAGCAACGGAAGCATCTTTCAGCCCATCCTTGACGGCCTTCTGCCAGAAGCACTCCTGTCCCTGCGCGAGCAGAAGCTGTTCCAGGCTCTGTAGTGTCATATCATCCATGTCCTCCGGGGGAGAGGTACGAAGATCAGGAAGGATATCTGTTCGGAGATGTGCTAACACTCCAGCGGCCTGGCAGAAGTAGTTGCATGCCTGTTTGAGTCCATCTGGTGTTGTACGGTTCACTGAGAAGGCTAACTGCGAATATAGTGCTACCAGATTAAAGAGGATGTTCGCAAGTTCAAATCGAATATTGTTCTGCGAGACTGGTACTCGTTAGCAACAACGCTGGTGACCGGATTGCTTTTCACATACTCGGCCTTGAGGTATTGAAACCTAATGCAGGGTACCATGGAAACTCCACTCCAATCTGTAAGCTCCTATGTCAGTAACGACTCTGTATCCAACCCTCCCCACCGTCGCTATGCAAAGTTACTTACATCGACCGGGAACTTTCCACCAAGCCATTTCAACTGCGCGGCATATGTGACCAACCGGCTGATCCCACTAATATGCGGCTCCTGGACGTGAATCGCTTCATTGCGGAGGCGATCTATGATCAGTAGATCATCTGCGAACATATCTGGACGCTGGTCATATTTGGTGGAGATATACTGGGTGATCGCATCTGACAGTGAGACGGTGTGAGAGCGTCGAAAGGGGATTTGAAGGATATTTCTGGACAATAAATTAGCCTAGACAATCCACATAAAATAGCACATCCTTGGGACAGCACATACGATGCCATGCTGGGCAACAGTCAAGAGCGCAATGAGAGAGGGATCGTCGCCGGGCAACTTTTGTTGATGTTGAAAACCCAACCCCACCGGGCAACGGATGACGTTGTGTTGTTGCCTGAGGCATCCATACTCTATGCTGTACTAGTACTTGTATTGCTTAACCCCACACAATGGTTTGTGGCTACATGACAGGTAGTGTTATTGATTAACAGTCAAGTTATTCATTCTGTATTTGCGTGGAGCCTCAGGCTCATGCACATATGTACTCGATAAAATATAAATCATAAACGCACACGCCGGCAGTCCCAACGCCAATGGCCATCTGCACATTGGCTAATGTCCCAGAAATCGCATCAATCCAATTGATTGATCTTCATCTTTATGTATTCGAAGATACTGAGCAAGATCATGTTGTTTACCCCAGTACGGATGAGAATAATGGAAAGTCCTTTATACATGCTGGACTTGGCAACCGCGGCCGACGCCTCTCCGACTTCGCTGGACTTTCCGAGCAACACGCTCTGGGCGCGAGTCTTGCGAGTATCAAGTGGGTAGGTCTAGGGCGGTTAGTAACGCACATATAGGCATCGTCGGTGCGGCACTTACACAAAACCACGGAACCGTGCTGCAAATCGCCCCGGCAATCATGGGACCGCCGAATGGGGATTTGTCTGGACCAAGCTCTTTGGAAGCAACTTGCTTTACCGTTTCGTAGACACTGAAGTATAAGCCAGACCCGAGAGTGTCACGCAGAGCGTGCAAATGAAAGCCAGTATACAGGCCACGGATTCCGTAACGTTGGACGATCTGCCGAATCGCCTCTATAGTGCCGAGACGGGGCTTGTTACGCAATGAAGGGTCCTTGACCGCGTCCGGCGAGGCCTGGGCACGATTTGACACCAAGACCGAGGTCTGAACAACATTCTTAGCAAGCTCAAAGGGGCCTTTAACTCAAGTCAGCAATTGGAGCTTAGATGAAGAGAAGCCATTATTCAGTCGTACATGCAAGCGGAGAAGTAATGAGTCCAGCAATTAGTCCAGCAGTGGTGAACGTCACAAAGGTAGCGACGGTAGGTGTGCTGCCCGGTTGATTGTACATAGCCAGGGGAGACTGGCCAGTCATTCTCTCAAAGAAATCGGAGATACGATGTTTGGCAGCGTTATATGTAGAGAAGTTTACAACCCGAACAGCTGTAACACTCGCTAAAGGTGGCAGAGCCCCTGAATGCAGAATTATCAATTATCGACCATCGGTCATTCCAAGTCAGCATTGACTTACCGGCAACGTAGCCACGGGGACCTTCAGTCCGCCACAAATAGCGGACACACTGAAATACATTCTTAAAGTTGTGGCTAGCGAAGTCAGCACAGCTATTACTATTGGATATGTTAAGCACTCACGTCTGCATGCGAGTTTTCACATTTTCAAGAGGGGTCTAGGGGTAACCAATTAGCTTGTTTCTTTTCAGACATCTGCTCCAGACTGAAACGTACTACAGCAAGAGTCGCGCAGATCGTGGAAGTCGCCGAGGCCACCTGGGTTTTGTAGTTCTTCAGGAATTTGTTACGGGTAGCTTCATCCATCATCCAGGTACTACCAGTCGGCATTATGGCAGGTGAAGGTTGTGAGGGGGGAGGAGAAAAGGGCGCATGTTCAGTGTGTTCGTCAAGAGTCATCCCTGGAGGTATCCCATTTGGGGCGAAATGGGAGAGGCCTTGCTTGATTGTCGCTTGTAGGTTCTATTCAGTGTTCAATGTCGTGCAGCAGGCTGGGGAACCCTATGGAACGCAAAGCGGTCTCTCAACGTGCGAGCAGACCGTTCGGCGTCCCACAATTGTCCATGAAGCAGGGGCCTAGACCACCGTTTGTTTCGATACTTCGATCTGTAGACAGAAGGTGCGGATACTTTACGGAGGGGAGGACGTCGAGGGTTAAATCAGTGAAGGGGAGGTGATAGCCGAGGCCAGTAGTAGGTTCGTAGCGACAATATCCACTTCTTCCGTGTCTGCACACCGAACACGGCTATGGTCGAAGTCGAATGGTTTGCTGGACCTGGTGTAGAATCCACCCAAGTGCCTTCTCTATCACATTCAAGAACAATCTGGATAGCAGGAGAAATGGTGCAATTCAGGAGCTACCTATACAGAGGAATCATAGTGTCAGCTTTATCAACCACACTAGGCCTTTGCTTCATTTCTTCTCTGTTCTTCCTTTCTTTCTCTTCGTCTTGGGGCCGTTGTGCGAAAAGAAAACCAATGCAAAATGAGAGAGAAAGCTAAGCATACCTCCAGGGACGAGACCTCCACTCTGGCGGGTGTGGAAGAAAACCCAATGCAGTGAACACAGTCGAATGGGGTGAATCGAAGAGGGAGAAAGTTGAGGGGATCACCAGCTGCCCATGATCGTATCGTAGTCAGTAGGCACGGACTGTAACTTAGTACAGCTGGTGGTAATTTAGGTAACTTCCAGCTTGTAGGTAAATTACAATTCAATGCAGTGGACTCGCGCCCGAAATTCCAGCAGGTATGTGGGTGAGGGCAGTCAATGGTGGACCTTCTTTCTCCTCTTTCAACTGGTTGGTTCGCTCGAACCGGCTTAGACTGTCTGTCCAGTGACGTCGTCGTGAGGCATCCAGTACGACCTCCACCGTACACACTAAACCCACACTACTTTTCCTTAGAGGTCGATCCTCCCATTACTGAACCCCAGTTAAAGAGACAGTACTTACTACTCAATGGATTGTATGGTCAATTTGGAATGTTACGACTTTTCCCTCGAACTCGCTGCAATTCCCGTTACCGTCCATAATCAGAGGGCTAAATCCCGAGTACTCTGCAATGTTATTGTGGTATGATTACCGGAGGACTCTCAGTCAAGGTACTGCCCCCCCTTATGGTAGGAACTGACCAGTGGCAAGGGCGTGAAAGTGTATCGGACCAAACCAGTCCGGGCGGTGGTAACACCCGCTCCGTCTACCCCGCCGACCAACAGGCCCTCTGATTGATTGAGGAATGAAGAGGATGGGAGCTACTCCGGATTTGGTCTAGATGAGTGCCAGGGACATTCATAATTCATCAGAATATGACCTAGTCTAGATACTAGTGCTACTACCTCAGTTATTGACGGAGTATATAATTCTTTACTGGATGATAGTAGGTAGAAGGCCAGCCATCCCTCCCTCCTCTCAAGCCATGGGGCCAACCTTCATACGGCACTTATTCTTTTGATCGTACGTATTTGGAAAAGGCCCCTTGTGATGATAGGGTCAGAAAGAATCCTCGTCCGTGTCCATGACGAATACTACCCGATTCATGAAAACACCAGTTGAGCAAAATTGCCTCATAAAGCAACTGTTCAATATCAGGAAGCTATGGATCGACGGAGTGTATCGTTGGCCTTACCACGGTTATGTAATGGCTTCGACCATCCCCCATCGAAAGAATGGTGTCGTAATGGTAAGCGAGAGCTATGTCGGGTAGTCTAATAAATTTGACTTCCAATCAGAGATACAAACAGTTGCCCGAACTGTGGTCCCCTTCAGTAGTACTCATCAACCTTGACAAGTGAGCTTTGATTCGGTATCCCAGCTCAATTCCGTCCGAACCCACTTCGAGGATTGCTATGCCATGTGATTGGGGGCGCTAGGTGGGAATCGGTTTTGAAGCTCAAATCACGTCTGTGCTTTTGATACTTGGTTATCTTAACATCTGGGTACAGCTCTATTGCTTGTTCAACCTCAACCAAACTAGGGCAAGTTTCTTGTTCATTTCGTGAATGCATTGTATATAACAAGGCATGATCCCTGCTATATTCCGCGGTACCGAACCCGAGATATACTCTAGGATAGTGTGACGACGGTATACTATATGGGTGCGATCTAGGGTGTTTTGGATCGTAGAGTCAGAATTATCTGACCTTTTGGCCTTGTTGGGAGCGTGTTGGCCTGGATCGCACGTCCTCACAGATAGAGATAGGTATAGACGGTAGCAAGTCCAACACCACAACTGGGCGCCACCAGTTATCGATTATCTCAAATTAAATGAGAGACCTCTTTTGTTCTTCTTTAAATCAAAATTCATCGAGACTGAACGTCTATTGATCTGATCGTCTAATCCTCGGAACCTCACAGTCGACCTAGGCACAACCCAATCATGTGAGATGGACCACAAAGAAAAGGAGGCTTGACCATGACTATCCTTTTGATCTAAAACGTGAGACGATCAGCAAAAAGCAATAGCTGTAACTTGTTATGCATCGTATAGCAGAAAGACATGAGATGAGATATGAAAAGTTGTGCAGGTCGCACACCAAGGAACAAAGAATATCCTCGGGACCTCGGTCGGCGGCTCCCCGCAAAATGTACCGTTGGGCTTTCTCCGCAGTAAATCATTCTGCAGAGATTCATATGCTGCCCCCTTAACCGATTGTTATATCAATGCCGCGATGCTTTAAATAAACAACAGTTCCCCAGTTCTCCACCTCTGGACCACACGCAGTATCTCACGGACTTTGCCTCCTTCTCTCTGTTCTTCTCCTCTCCTTGTCAATTAAATTCCCCGATAACCACCTATCATCACAATGGGCAAAAAAGCAGCGTCTCCCGCCTATGTCCTAGGTGTAGGAATGACCAAATTTATCAAACCTCGGGGCAAGGTTGACTATCATGAGCTGGGTTTTGAGGCTGGTGTCAAGGCCATGCTGGATGCCCACATCAACTACGATGATGTTGAGCAAGGGGTTGCGTGCTACGTCTATGGTGACAGTACCTGCGGCCAGCGTGTGTTTTATCAGTTCGGTCTGACACAGATTCCCATTTACAATGTTAACAACAACTGTTCAACGGGCTCCACTGGCTTGGCGATGGCCCGTACGATGGTCTCTCACGGGGCCGCTGACTGTGTTCTTGTTGTCGGTTTCGAAAAAATGAGTCCTGGAAGCCTTCAGTCGGTTTACAATGACCGAGAGAACCCCACAGGCTTGTTTGGAATGATGATGGCTGAGACCAGGGGAGTCACAAACGCCCCCGGGGCGGCTCAGATGTTTGGCAACGCTGGTCGGGAGTATATAGAGAAGTATGCTCTCCAGGGCCCCATCTATCTGCTTCTACAGAATTTAACTGACATGGTGTAGGTATGGGGCGAAAAACGAAGACTTCGCCGAGATAGGCCGCATCAATCACGAGCATTCCAAGCGCAACCCGTACTCGCAGTTTCAGACCGAATACACCCTTGAGCAGGTTCTCAAGGCGCCCATGATTCACGAACCACTCACTAAGCTGCAGTGCTGCCCGACGTCGGATGGCGCCGCTGCCGCAGTTATCGTTTCCCAAGAATTCCTGGATGCTCGGCCGCATCTCAAGGACCAGGCAATCTTGATTGCGGGCCAGCAACTGGCCACCGATAATAACACCCTATACAACCGAAGCTCGATCGACCTGATGGGTTTCGGAATGACCCGCAATGCTTGCCGAGCAGCTGTTAAGGAAGCAGGCGTGAACGTGAAGGATATCAAGGTGTGCGAGTTGCACGACTGCTTTTCCGCCAATGAGATGATAACAATCGACGCACTCGAGCTCTCCGAGCCCGGTAAGGCGCACGAGATGGTTCGTCGGGGCGACATCACTTATGGAGGGAAGATGGTGATCAATCCATCGGGTGGCCTCATTTCAAAGGGCCATCCTCTGGGAGCGACGGGTCTTGCGCAGTGCGCGGAACTGGTGTGGCACTTGCGTGGTTGGGCAAACAACCGGTTGATCGATGGAACGGATGCCGCCCTGCAACACAACCTGGGTCTGGGAGGCGCGGTTGTGGTGACTGTCTACAAGCGAGCAGATGGAAAAATTGCGACGTCCGTACCGTCAGACGCTGTTGGAAAGATCACCGGTCTCGGCTACAACCCGGCTGTTGAAGCCAAGGGCTTTACAGCTGAACAGGCCAAGACGGTTTTGAGTAAGAACCACAGCAGCGAGTGGGCACTATCCGACACCCAGGACAGGGTTCTCGCTCGTTTCTAGACCAAGCTCGGCGGGAAGTGCAAAGGAGATATCCAGCTTTTTCACGACCATCTTCGTGGTATATTGTTTTTATAGCTATATAGAATGACGAACTAGTAATAAGTTATTCAAGGAACCGGAATATAGTACAGCCGTGTTAACGTATTCGGAAAGCGAGCGTTCCACGTAACCGAGCGTTCCAACCCCATATCCCATATAAAATGACCATTTTTATATATCGGATATCTCAGCAACAAGAAGTCCAGAGAAGCTGTACTCTAGTACTAAGAGTTTTAAACCATATAATTATCTAATAGACTAGATATAAGACTCTTTAGTTCTATAATTCTCTTAATATGATAACTGCAGTATATATTATTGTATATTTTATTGAATCTTATGTTATAACAGTCTAAAATATATTAAAAAAGGTCTATTAGAGCTTTAAGATCTAATATATAAAATATATTAGTAAATTAAGCATTGGATACTTCTCACTGTTGGGATATTTGGATTAGAAAAGGGCTATTTTATATGGGATATTGGGTTGGAACGCTCGGTTACGTGGAACGCTCGCTTTCCGAATACGTTACTAGTTGTAGATTACATAACCCATCCCACAAGCTCCACCAAATAAATTTCCGCGTTTGTTTCCCGCCGTTTTTTCCTTTCTTCAACATATTTCAGGTCTCCGACATACCCTTGTTGATGGAGGTTTTGGCCTTCAAAGCTCCCGTTCCGTCTGCAAATTTTAGACAGAGACCGAGAGCGATGAACTTGTGCTCGTTCTAATCCCATCGCCCGCCAAAAGGTGCCGGTCTGACCGGTCCGACTCCGGGGTTGTTTGGGTTCGCTTTGAGCATACACACACCCCTTTCTGAGGGATTTTGATTGAGGAGGCATGCCAGTCCTTCGTATCTAGTTGAGCGATCAACCATCTCAGCCTTGAGGAAGGTTGATTGCCATGTTCTGTATAGCCCAGGAGAGAATATGATCTTTCCCTTGCTCAACCAAAGCTACTCGCGAACTAATAAACAGGTCAATATACCCTCGTAAACTCGCAAAGACAAAAAAGTCAAGCAAGGCATATTCGAAGTCTCGTCCGTCACTGCTCTATGATATTCGAGGTCAAAACCGTGCCGAAAACGATTCCGTGGACATCGTCCACTTCTAAACGCTCCCTCGTGTTGCGTCCACCTTAGTTTCAGATGGGGTGGTACGTGTCAAAGTAGGGAGATACATTCCGAAACCCGTTGCGGTCTGTAGTTTTTTGGAATGTGGATTGCGTAGTCAAGGTTCCCAAGTATGTCGCTATCAGAATTTGAGGCGTGTTTGCAAAGCCAAGGCGTCGGGAAGGGCTGTCATGGTCTCCTGTGGATGGCTTCTCGCGGCAGGCTTCCATACCGTAGAGCGCTTTACTGGACAGTCCCAAGGAGAATGTCGATCAGACCAGTTTTGTTGTGCAGTCAAGGGCGGCCTGCGATATATGGAAAGATCTTCTCATCCTAGGGTTGGGAATGTCACTGGGCAAGATTCTCTCTCATTTATTGAGGCACTCTCGCCAATCAGATGAAGGAATGACTGACAGGAGTCTATGGATGCTGTGTTGCTCCCTTGCTTGGCCATCATCGTATGGCGCTTGAATCTTATCGGGCGAAGACCATACGCACACCTCATTGCACGAGCCAGCTTCGCGACCTCTGGGAAATGCCCGGTTGCCTCCCTTGAGTATGTACGTCCTCGTGTGTTTACCGTTCTGACTACATGTCTCCCGTATAAATGATGCATTTATTCTCCGCAAGATAACGAGTCTTTCGTTCCAGAACACATTTCCTCTGAAATTTGTATTCAAATAGTTTGGCTGTCTCATAGGCCTGTCCGCTCCTTTTCCATTTGAGATCTTTTTCGTTGCAATCCTAGACCTGTCAAAATGGCTCGTACCACACTCTCTTTCTATACCGTTTGCTTCATCCTAGCTCTCACGGGCTCTGCTTTACCGGCCAAGCGCGCGGACCCTTCCTCGCCTTCCAGTGCGGTTGCCCCCAACGGCATGGCGAATATTGCCTATGATGCTGTGAAGGTGAGCTATACGTTGAAAACGCCTGATGGGACGGTGATTGATAGGACTCAGTCCACCACCCACATGGCGCAGGACATCAACAAGGAATTCTATGACGATGATGAGACGCCAAAGCCCACACCCGTCGGTATCCACCCTGTTCCCACGCCGTCCAGCAGTGGGACAGCAACCAAGTCTCTGAAGGACCTTTACAAAGCGCAAAGTGCAGAGAGAGTGCATGATCTCGAGGAGCCCTCATCCTCACCCTCACCTGAGCCGAAGACCGACACCAAGCCCGAGGAGCCTCAGGAAGAGGAAGAGACTCCAACAGAAGATCAAAAGCAAAGCGAGCCTACTCCCACTCCTACTCCAACTCCCACAAAGAAGTCCGGTAGCAGCGCCTCTGCAGCTCCAGCCGCTTCTAGCCCTCCAACTCAGAAAGACAACCCTACCAACGATATCCCTGTCATCGGCCCTCTCCTGGGAGCATTCGGAGGAATTCTGTAAGTGATGGGGGAAATACTTTATCGAGCCAAAGGTTGCTTGAGCAAGTTAGACGTCATGTTTCTGAATAGCTCGTCTACGCATCTTAATCAAGTTACTAGCTATCGTTTTCCATTTCATTAATTTGCCTCTGCTTGTGTATAAAACAGCGCCTTGAGACACCGCGCGAATAAAAGCTAATAATCTAATATGTGCCCAGTTCATATTGGAAACCGTGATTGGAATAACAATATATTTGATTAACTTAATAATCCGTCTGATTAAATAATGTGTTGATGCACTCCTTGCCTGCAAAGGGTTATTCTTGGAATTCTGCTATATCCCCCAGATGCCGAGTTAGGGCTTATATGCGAGAAATCATCGCCTTGAGAATCAGCTCACGGGCGAATGATTAAGCATGAATAAGGTCTCGAAGACTTGCGTATAAGGTTGGTTTTCAGCACAAGTAAATATTATCGTACTAGGTCTCTGGTATGGTCACGCACTCGTTGATGACGCCGTCTATTCCCTAGCCCGGTGGCTCAGCCAGCAGACCAACTGACCGCAGCATCTAGAATACTCGTCTGCGAGGGTAGCATTTAGGTGCAGTGGCGGTTGATGTCACCTCTTGTATTTATAGTGAGGTAGTAAGTGCCTATCACTTGCAGCGAGAGATAGGTCATGAACTCTTATTTTGGTTTGCTCTCTGTTGCCCTTCGTAAAGGCCAGTGTAATATCCTGCAAAGTACCAGGACATCATAAGGTTTTTCAGTCCTTCATCTTGGACTAAAACATACACAAAATCAGCTTATATACCGGCATATAGATGCGGGCTCTCTCACCTTGCGATAACACTGTCTGAGGCATGGCAGCTCCCATAACATTGGACCCAACTGGGTCATTCGTTCTCTGAGCAGGAACGTCTGCGCTACCTGCGTTCTGAAACAAAAATTAGTTAACTTTGGCATAAATTAACTATAGCTACGACGACATACTTGCAAAACATCCGCCCGTAGTATGTGCTGAGCCTCAGAGGAAGCCGCTACTGAATCGATCGCCGGCTCTTCAACATCGGCCTCCATGTGGTCATCTTTGTCGACCACTCCTTGACCATCCGCTTGGGCTACCTGCCCATTTTCGGCGTTTTGAGCATCCCTCAGTACATCTTCGACATTTTCCCCTTTGGCGTGGATGCTATGGTAGAGCTATCCAGTGGTTGTGTTAGAAGTGCATATCACGTGCGCCGGGGTTTGAGGGAATCAAAGGTACCTTGTATTCCTCTACTGCTTCGTCCCAACTCTGTACGAGCGCAGAGTCGTCCCAGATTTCTTCCTGTGTCAGTGCCTTGGTCGCATTCTTGTTCTTCCCCATGGCATCTGCTTTATCTTAGAAGAAAAAAAAAAGAAAAAAAAAAAAAGGAAAAAAGCGGAAAAGAAGTACTGCTTTATTAAGGTGATTTGTTGTGGTTGCCAGTGAAAGGCGAGGGAGGTTTACTTAGTCAATCGATAAGACTAAGACTGAGACGGAAGCTCACCGCTTGGCGTTCCGTCGGAAGAAAGAAAAATTAATGCAAAAAAAAAGTTTCCGCACCCTCTTACTATCAACAGGTTTGGATTGTAGCGCTCAACCACAGCCTACAATTTATTATTTTACGCCATAATGGCCCCAGATAAGAAAGATAAGAAGCGCAAGGGTATGTTGTCCTTCCATTTCACTCAGCTTTCCCAGGTGGGTTGCCGTACCGTTTACTGACAATATCACAGCTGCCGCCGCTACTGCTGCCGCCGACTCGCCCGCGAAGAAGACCAAGAAGGTGGAAGCCAAGCCCGCCGAATCCACGAATGCAAGCCCCAAGCCTATTCTGAAGAAGAACAAGGGAAATGGTGCAGAGAAGTCTGCCGCAAAGTTGAAGGTCAATGGCGAGCGACAAGGCAGGTCAAGCCTCGCAAGCGCGCTGCCGATTTCCTCAGCGACAACGACGACAGCGAGTCAGAGGACGCCCCTCAGGCCAAGGTCGAGACAGAGAAGAATCTGAGCAACAAGAAGACTAAGAAGGCGGATGGCACAGCAGCCCCCGCTCCCAAGGAAAAGATTACCAAGGCCAAGAAGCCAGAGTCAGTCGCCGAAGAGTCTGATGATGAGGAGATGGGAGATGAAGAGTCTGCCGCATCTGGTGCTAGTGCAAGTGAAGATGAGGAAGAGGATGACCGGACCACCGCGCTCATTAAGGGCTTCGAGAGCAGCGGGGATGAGGACGAGTCCGGGGATGAAGGGTTTAACCCCGACCAACCGGTTCCTAAGATTCCTGATTCTAAGAAAGCCAAGAGAAAGATCTTGAAGAAGCAGAGGGAAAACAAACAAGAGGCAGAGGAGCCAGGTACTGTATACGTCGGGTGAGTATTCCAGTCCTTACTCGTTCATTGGTGAATTGGATCTAACCAGCTACTTTACAGACGTATTCCGCACGGTTTCTACGAACATCAGATGAAGGCCTACTTCTCGCAATTCGGCGAAATCTCTCGTCTGCGTCTCTCGCGGAATCGCATTACCGGCCGCTCCAAGCATTACGCTTTCATTGAGTTCACCTCCACCTCTGTGGCGAAGATTGTCGCGGCAACCATGGATAACTATCTGATGTATGGTCATATCATGAAGTGCAAATACGTACCCCAGGAACAATTGCACGCAGAGCTCTGGAAGGGCGCCAATAGACGGTTTAAGCGGACCCCCTGGAACCGAATTGAGAAGAAGCGACTTGACAAGGCCAAGACAAGAGAGCAGTGGTCGGAGCGCATCGATCGCGAACAGAAGAGACGACTCGCCAAGGCTGAGAAACTCAAGACTCTGGGCTACGAGTTCGAATTACCCCAATTGAAGAGTGTCGACGAGGTCCCCGTTCAGCAGGAAGAGAATAAGGCGATTGATGCTTCGGAGACAGTGTCCGAAGAACCTGCCAAGGCTATTGAAGCGCCAAAGGAGGAGGACAAGAAGGTTGCTGATGATACCCCCAAGAAGGCTAAGAAGGACAAGAAGAAGGGCGCACAATCGAAAGAACAGGAGACGCCAAAGGAGCAACCCAAGAAGGAGACTCCTGTAGCAGCTGCTTCGCCTGCCACCAAGGCTGGAGCAAAGGCTAAGAAGGCGAAAAAGACCAAGGCCAAGGCGTAAATCCCAGTTTAACATTCTCTGTAACTTTCATAACATAAATTATGTTTTCTCCATCATGGAACAAAAAGCGGCTGTACGTTTTGATCTCCCACTCTAATTCTAAGTCACAGTAGTTGAAATTCCCAATATTGAAAGAAAAATAGTGATATTATCCAGCAACGCTTCCTTTTCCTACAGTTCGAAACATACAATTTCCGGCCCAAAGCAAAGGAGACCATTGGCTCCTCAGTATATATATCACGTGATTGTACTAGCCCACAGAAGGCTTAGCGGAACCACTTCAGTCAGCCGAAAGACTAGAAAAAAGCCCCAGCGGAACTTTTCACTCTCGAATTCTTTCTCTCTTCAACTTCTCGCTCAAAGGATCGCATTCAAAGCTCACACACAGAATATTCCTAGCGGGATATTCTCCTCTCTTCAAGAGAGGCAATGGCTTTGGGAGAAAGTCCCCGGACATCCTGACCTTCATATCGGTCAGGCATTGCGGAAACGCGCCGCCATAGAAGCAATTCGATAGCGGCTGACTGCCCTATTCCCTCCCGGTATCCTGTCTGTATCCGACGCCTTCACGGTGGAAACAATGGTGGTATAGCTGGGTGCCGGAGAGGGGTTTATCTGGGTTGCCATTCGTCGTGTTTGGATAGTCATGCGATTGCTTGGTTCCCTTGCAGGGACTGGGTAACTCAATGGGGCTCATTCTTGAGGCGAGGAGTTCACTTCTTTTTTTTTTATCTTCCAGAGTCTGTAGCTTATGGTAAAGCGGTGCACCGTGTTGGCTTCTCATGGAGCCCAGCACAGAAGCCCTGTCGCAGGGGCCGGACTCCCTTGTTTACATCTTGTTTTGTTGTCTCCTTCATTGTTCGCATGATGATATACCAATCATAGAGTCAAGCCCTGAAATCCCTACTACGGTATGGGGTTGTTGACGATAAACGATTGTTTTCATATCTGAAGAACATCATTCTTCTACACTATTAGATAGAAATATATATGTTTTTATTCTAACAGAATAAACACTTGGTTTTACTTTTACATTCTCATGCAATCCATAATATGTAACATGCCAACCGTCAAATCATTGCGTCTTTTGAGCCGTAGCAACCGGAGTAGGTGGTGTCTGCAGAAACATCGAAGTGACAATCTCCGCCGTGGCCGAAACCGCCGTCGCGCACACACTGTTCCAAACATGAACGCTCACCGATCCCATAGGAGCCCGGGGGAATGACAGAATCCATTGCACGTAGTAGGGGATCCACGCTTCTGGGAGCGCAAAAACGGGCGACTTCGAGTACCAGAATTGAAGAAAGATCTTCACGCCGTTCGTACTAAGCCACCGGGCGATCTTGACACTCCAGTCGAAGGAGCTCTTCTGTGCCATGAGCGTTTTGTCTGCAGAAGCGGTGTATTCAGTTAGTTTCAGCACTAGTTGTAGAGATATGGCATAAAGAGAATGTAGATAAGAGGGCTGGAGACACATCACATACTCAGCTGTTCGTACTCATCCATGGTTTTATCATGTCGACGCCTAAGCTTAGCCCACTTTGCGAATTCATCCTGAGAGCTGGTGTTGTTCATGTCCCGTTTCAACTCGAGGGCTTCGCGCTTCAACCGGCTCTGCTCCTGCGCATCTTCGAAGTTGACGTGGGTAATTTCAGGTAGAGAAGCCATAGCTAGAGGACAAAAGCTTTGTCAGTCAAGGCACAACTGATCAAGGGCAGTTGAAGTGGTTTGAACCGTGACTGAGTGTAGCTTGATCACAGGAAACATAGAACGTACCAGGCTGTCAATCGTGCTTGCGCCAACAGTATTTACCACATAGATGGTAACGTGGAGGAAAAAGATCGTCCAGATCAAGGATAACATCTTGAAGCGTGTAATAGGGTCGTGGTAGAGAAATATGACTGACAGAAAGAACTGACTACACAGCTACTTTCGGGTTTGTGGGAAGCCACAACACCCACCTGCGCCGAAGAGATAATCAGACCTGCTCTGTGTGATCTTGAAGGGACGAAAACCCCCAATTGGCAGATTGAGGTAAGGAGACAAGTGGAAGAAGAGTAAAGAGGAGAAACTGGTCAGACAGCCGGAAATGTCGTGGAACAATGATCTCGTAATTTGGATGACGTTGTCATGTTGGCCTCTCGTTTCTGCCCCATTAAATCCGTTGGCGGCGTTGCTGTCCGCCTTCCAACACAGCATCTAATTGTACCCGCCTGAAACTACCACGCAAGGCCATTGCCCACGCTATGATAAATGACGGTTGACTCATTCAATGATGGGATAGATTGAAACATCCCAATGTCCGCCTCAGACAATGCGTTTCAAGAACTCGCTCGGATCTTTTCGACCAGAAACAACCGCATTTTTGAGATCGAGATTCTCCCGCCAGCTCTTGGTCCCCTCCTCCAAGATGAATGCTCTGTAGGTATTACGAAGAAATACCTGGTTCAGTCCTTTGTAACTGCTAGGCGTATATTCTTTGCGAGGTCGAGTTCTAAATTCGAATGCGGAGCTCCACGCGCGCCAAAGGAGAGCGAGCATGAGAGCGTACCTCACGGATCTTCGCACGCGATCCTCGAAGACCTTTTAGTCTCAACAGAGATAATTCTGCTATTCGACTGCGAGCATCTTACAGCGTGCAACTGGAGACGCGGGCGGCTGGACACCCTCAAGAGACACCATGACGTTTCCTCCGACGACCCAAGCCCACTTATCCAAGCGCTAGAAACTGAGCTCACCCTGATGACAACTTATCTTTGTTCGCCCTTGCACCGGCATACAAAATCTCCTACGTTGTGGCAACATCGATTATGGGTGCTAAGTCGGTTACTCGAAGCACGCGGAGCGGGAGCGAGACGACCATCCTTCGTCAGCCCGTCCGAAACAAACCAACACCAAGAAAGCAAAGTCGACTTACTGAAATCTGAACTAGCCATAGTCTTTCGGGCCGGAGAACTACATCCACGAAACTACTATGCGTTTAACTATATAAGACAAGTCTTCGGCGTCCTTTCAAATACTACAAAAGGACATTCTGCGTTAGCTGAGTCAATCCTCGATTCGGTGTTGTCTTGGTGCTTGGCCCATCCGTCAGATATATCCGGGTGGATGTTTATGCTCTATCTGCTGGAAGCTGTTCCGAAAGCAGATCTTCAACCCAATGCTGTTCAGAAGGTGGTCCGTTACGCTTTAGATGTCGGGTGGGAAGGTGAGAGCCTCTGGACCTTTGTGGACCTGTCTGTCAAGTCGCTTAGTCTGGAGGAAACGGTCATCAATACTCTACAGAGAGTTCCGGGGATTGCTTATACTGCTATTGTCTCGGTTCCAGATGAATCGACGAAGAACACAGCTCTGCCAGTGCAGTCTTGGAAATCTTGGCTGACCATGGCGAGGCAGTATTGGGATGGCTACAGTCAAGTTGGCTAAAATGAATCATAGATTTTAGAAAGCCATACGCTACCCACGTTTGAGCCGTGGTGAAATACCATCAGCTGTCGAAAAGCTCAGTCTTTCAAGCAACAGGTATGATTAATATAGTCTCTCGTGCCTTCGTGATACGTCGCTATGCATACGAAGAAAAGAAACTCCTCCGCGTTCGAATAACGCCTCGCTAGATATAATGCTATAATAATATGCGCCAATAGCCCCAACTTCCCTGTATAGAATCCAGTGTATAATATAAAATAGCCCGCGTAGATCCATCATTCCCGTCACATCTCTCAACATATGGCATCTCTCCACACACACACACATGCGCTCCGACAGACATGGTTATAATCCAAAAAAGCGGGGGTTGCTCAGAGGGTATGTCACAAGAAGATGTTCATTGAAACGAAGGAGGTGGGATATATGACGGATCCAAGCCAATCCATACTGGTCATTTCTTTTTGTCGGGTGAGGTTTTCGCTGCGTCGGCTAATTTCCAGCACCAGGAGTTAGTAAGTGATAAACAAAAAAAAATGAAAAAAAGAATGATATTGTCGGCGGATTGTGTGTCACTGGGAGACAAAGTGGGGGAAAAAAAAATACTGACCACTTGCTTGCTTCCTTCGCATGATCTCAGCATCCGACTCCTTTTTCTGCTGGAACTGCGTCCCGGACAAGGTGTTGGCTGATTTCTGGACGGGTAGAATATGGTGTTAGTGAGAGAACCCTGGCATTGGAGAGATACAGGACCTGTATCAAAAATGTCGTTTACCTTTTTGTTTTGTTTTTTCTGGTTCTTGATGCGATCCTGGTCTCTCTGGTTTCCGCGGGTCATCCTGATCGACGTTGACTTTTTTTTTTGTCTTGGCCTTCTTTCTATTTGTTTGTGACTATATAAATTTTTTTTTCCCTTAAATTTGTTTTATTGATTCCGTGTCCGCGACGGCTGATGGGGGGAAATGGGAGGGAAAAGGGGGGGCGTTCCAAAAGTAGAGAAAAAAAAAAAGTTTTGCTTTTAGGACTTCCAATACTATCTAATCAAGTAGAACTTGGAGAGGACTAACAAGGGTCGTGGAAGGTTCCGTCGGTATCCATTTAATCCTATTTAACCAACAGTTTGCAAAAAGCCACCGCGCCGAGAGAACACCAAGTTGACATTCGCAGTAGCTAACAATGCATAGTTATCGGAATGTATTTATTTCAGTGTGGAAAATTCCACTGGCTAAGAGTACTAACCTTGACATAAGAGATATTCCGTTTTTTGAGGGGACAAACATGACCTTTTAAATCCG